CAGCTCCCAAAATAGTAAGGCCACTCTGGCAAAGGGGAGATTTATTGCCACCTTAAACTATACGCTAAAACGCTATCTTTGCTCAGGGGGAACAGTGAGGTTTGAAGGCCTTTGGTGGAAACGTGTGTGTTCTGGCTTCACGGATTTCTGGGCCGGAGAGCGCGGGCCCAGCCTGAGTGCCCGCGGCAAGGACCCGGCGGCCCGGGCCAGCCCAGAGGCGCGGCCCGGCCGGGGGTTTTTTTTTTGCCGGGGCACGGGGCACGCGCCGGCCCTCGTCCCGGCTCGCGGTGCTTCCCGGCTCTCCTCCCCGCTCCGGGCGAGGACGCAGGACCCTTGGAGCAGCCGGTCCCCGCGGCGTTTGCAAGCACTGTCCCTTTTACGGAGCTGTTTGCTGCACCCCAGCGAGTGTTTGATTTCCTTATCTGGTGGAAGTTTAATTTGCGGAGGAAATCCTGTCTCCCGCTGCCTGCCTGGTCTCGGCATGACCTCATGCCGCGCTCCACGGTCATCAAGGGAGGAAGTATCTTCAAGGCAACCATGTTACCAGAGGCCTGACCAGGATGGACCAAGGGTCCACGGAAGATAACGCCACGCGGGAATAAATTGCAGCATTGCCGGTTATTTGGTTACCCAGGACAAACATTTTAATCAGCTCCCAAAATAGTAAGGCCACTCTGGCAAAGGGGAGATTTATTGCCACCTTAAACTATACGCTAAAACGCTATCTTTGCTCAGGGGGAACAGTGAGGTTTGAAGGCCTTTGGTGGAAACGTGTGTGTTCTGGCTTCACGGATTTCTGGGCCGGAGAGCGCGGGCCCAGCCTGAGCGCCCGCGGCAAGGACCCGGCGGCTCGGTCAAGCCCAGAGCAGCGGCCGGGCTGGGACACGTCTTTGAAGGAGAGGGTCAGGCCTGATTTTACGTTTTAAAGAGTAACACACGACTCTCGCTAGCAATCACCCCCAGGGTTGTCCATCCTCCCTGTTAAAGTGCTGCACCTTGCTTTCAGTTTGCTTTTTTTTTTCCTTGGCTTCAGCTTCCAGGTGCTGCAATATTGTTCTGCCAGTCCAAAACCATCTCTTCCATGTGATAGCATTTCCCTAGGTAGGTACTTCAAATCTAGGATTAGATCATTTGTGATGCCTCTTAGAGCAGTTCTAGTCTTATCAAGTCTCAGCCTAAAAGAAGCTTTTCAGGGCTGATACAACTCTGCTGGCTCTTTTCCCCCATTTTTTCACACCCAGTTCAAAGTGTGGACACCAGAAAGGAACGCAATGGTTGGTTCTGGGCTCCCAGTGGCCAACCCAGAGTCGCAGCCAGCTTCCTGTTCCTACCGACCTTAAAGAAAAAGCAGCAAAGTCTGCTGAATTACTTTATAACCTGAATCGGTTGCCACTTGGCAAGCAGCTGTGTGAATTTGTGGACATCAGCAATATGGGAGATGATCCCAGCAGCCGGCTCTTGACTGTTGACCTGGTGCTGCATGCACAAAATGCACTTCTTGGCTGCGGGGCAGCTCGTGTCTCAGGCCTGGCCAAGGAGGAAGCGATCGCATCAGACCACACCTCGCTGCCCCGCAAGGGCGATCACGAAGGAGCAGTCTCGCCCTGTGAGAAGCGGAGGAGATGAGTCTGAAGGAGGGGCACTTCCCTTGCTTCAGGGTCATTAACCTTCCTGCTGGCACAGCTTATTCACTCATGACCCAAAAAAAACATCCCTCCCAGCCCGTCTGGCAGAGATCGGCTGCAACAGTGCAAAGGTAGCGCAGCCGCTGGTGTTAATCGCTGTCCCGCACACAATCTCTGTGGGAAGGAGCCCTGGCTCTGGTCCATCTCCTAGGCACCAGCTCACCAAGGCAGGTTATATCTGCCATGAACATGCCCCAGTGCTGTGCATGGCCACGACCACGCTGAGCAGGAAGGCAGTTTCTGCCGGTCGATAGAGCAGAAGTTGGGACTGTGGGCTGTGTCACCAGTTTTGGAGTACTGTCTGGAATTTCGAGGAGAAAGCTACGAATCTGAGGTCCTGGGCTCCAGGCCCAGAACTTGCTGTTGTTTTTCATAACCGATGTCACTGCAGACAGCAATGTACAGCTAAAAAGTGTCAGATATTTAAAAGGGCAATGGTGGAGGGCAGGTAGCAGGGAGAGCTTGCACCGGCAGGCTGTGAGAAGCACAGAGCAGAGAGTTAATCAGCAAAGGAGGTGTTCGCTGAGCGCCGGGGAATCCTGCTCCCTGCCCTTGGGAACCGTGTCCCATCACTGGTGGTGACCGAAGCCATCCGTAGGAACTAGTCAGGCTGGTATGCTGTACTCCACCACATAATAAAGCATAGGTGGTTAAACAAGGTGATTAAACAGTCCGATACCTTTGCTGTTTCTGTAACTTTAGAAATGCAAGTGGAGTTTTCTGATATCTTAATGCTAAGAATTGGCCCCCAGCTACCCTATGAGCTAGGAAACAGCCCTGGGAGCACAGTTTCATCCTAGGCCTCACGGTGATGCCGGTATCACACCAGTGACGCGCTCTGCAGTGGCACTGTGCTGGCTGGCGCACGCGTGAGGAACGTTAGTCAGACTCCAGTGATGCAGCAGGAAACCAAGAAACTAGGTGATCCAAACACCCATTTGTTTGTCATCACATCGCTAGCGTTATTCATGGGCTGACTGCTATGCTGTCAGTAATTTCCTTCCAGGCCCCTTCTGCAACAAGAGCGAGGGCTGACCCTAACTGGCAGGTCTTTGGAGCACGTACAAGAGTTTTTTTATAACCAAATGGGCTCACCTTTGGAAAACAAGAGGTTTTAGTGATGAATAGAAAGAGGAAACCAAAGCACTTGCGTATCAAAACAAATGGCTGAATTGGCTTGGAAGGCATGTAAGTTGAAGGAAAAATTCTTGAAGCTTTTTGTGTGTGCCCGCAGCGAGAACAGCCAGCCTGTAGCGCAACTGGTCACAGAGCAATAAGATGTGGGCTTATCCTGTGGTAAAGCTTCTTTTCTCAGATATAGACATTAGAATAGTCCTGCTTCAGTGGGAGCTTAGAGTCATTACACACTTCCCTGTAATATGGAAATTATTACTAAACAGTGCTGTTAGGAAATCCTCCATTTCCCGCCTTCTGGGCTCAGTTATTAATTCTGCAAATCCAGACATGGGTGACCAGCAAAGGGGGCGAGAAAGTCTGCATTTTAGTGAGATACATAATATTGTCATACACGATATTGTCTTTAATGCTGAAACAAGCAAGCAAAAAAAACAGAAACGCTGACAGCACTTCTCTGGTAGCATCAGTGCTGAATCTAGGCAGGAAGTTGATGCAGCCCAGTATGCTGCAATCTGTGGAGACTGATACAGTCCACTCTCGCTGACATGGAAAGCACAGGACGGCCTGCTTTTCTGAACAAACCCATCTGTTTTATTTCTCACGTCATATGCAACTGTTTTATCTTTGCTCATTTCTATTGCTAAACCCTGGCTGGGAGATGAGCTATTTTAAAATGCATCTGCTGTTATTTATACAAACAGTTTCTTTTCTAAGGGCATGCAGAGGAAAGTGGTGAAAACCAAAGTTCCCCCAAATGCTCCCAAGATGTAACTGTGTTTCTTTTCTGCTAGTGCTGCAGACATACATGCTGCTTGCTAATGAAAGACACCAGGGTTAATCTGGGGAAGAGTTTACCACTTTCCATGACCTTTAGCTACAGAGAGGCAGTTCAGCATGTACCGCAATAGGATATCTAGGTACCACGCGGCCGACCTCTGCTCGGAGCCATGGCCCAGCTCTCTCTAGCCAGTGAGAGAAGCACTGCATCTACCTATGCGCTTTACTGGAGGAAAAAACCACATGAGGGCTGGAGAATCAGGAGCAAGACACCCAGTCCTTACTCAGGTAAAATTTCCAGATAACTGAGTCATAACTGAAGTGGAAATTACTTAGCAACCTGGTTGAGGAGGCAACAGCTGATTTCAGTATGGAATTCATGGTTTTGCTGTCAGTTTGGTGGTGCCTGCGATGGGCTGCTTTTGTCCCAAATGACCAACTGGTCTTTACTTTGGAGTGGAGCATTTTGTTTTCAGGACAGACAGCGAGGAGGCACAAGTGCCTAATGCTCCCTCTTACTCAGTGTTTGCTTTACTGTTGATATAAAATAATGGCCTTTCTGTAGGAAAATATCTACTCTTTGCTGATTGAGAAGCATAAAGCAAGTATTATTAGCTTGCATTCTGGAAGCAATCAGAAAATGAAGAGTGCTATCGTAAGGCTAAGTGTTATTGTAATTGTAATTATAGTGGAACAGCTAATAAAAAGAGAGGAGAAACAGCCGCTCCTTAAACAGCGGTTTCAAAACAAGCTCTTGCTAACACCTGAGAGCAGAAGTAGTGAGATTGCTGCAGCATGCCAGAAGGTCACCAAGGCTGGGGTTGAATAAGTCCTTTTAGGATAGCAGGGAAGCATTAATGGGAAACACACATCTCTTATCCAGTTACAGGTGATTCCATTCACTCATTGATGTCTTTATAAATCTTGTCACGTAATAGTAGCATCTCTCCTGATCAGCTCCAGGTGACTGGCTGTACTGCTAGCCTTTGACTCAGGCAGGTGTTCCCTGGGGGTCCAACTGGATAACTGTTATGGGTGAGGAAAGAAAAAGGACTGTCTGAAGGCTTGTGCGTTTTTCCAGCTCTGATCCTCAGATCCTGATATCCACCAGTACTGACCCTGGAAGGGACCAGCTATCAACTGAGAGAAATCAGGAATGGGTAATGTGGAAATAATCTCAAGGGGTTTCCAGCAGCCTGTAGATTAGGTAGCTGCATTGCTATTTTAACCGGAATAGTTTTAACTTGCAACTAGGTGATAGTACAGTTGTTAGGGGACACTGTTTAAGCAGAACAAGCGTTTAAATCCCATGGGAGTAAACATGGGAGCAAACACTTGTTGAATTAGACTTTATTCTATTTCAAAATGTATATGACATTTAGTTCTCATGTACTCTTTGACTCATTGGGTGTGTAATTACAAAAAGAGCTACAAAGTCAAATGAATGTCCTGGACTTCCTCTAGTATTTTAAAACATCAATTTTAATTCTTCTTTCCATTTTTCTTTCTGCTTTTTTCTTCTTTTCCAAGCCTCCTTGCCATTCCCTGTACTGCCTGGTTTTAGACACTGGAAATAGCAAAATGGAAGCTGTGCATCTGTCCTAGAAATAAGCAAAAACAATTGGCAACTGTTTGTGGAGGATGAAGTTAGGTACCTAGATGATGTGTTAAGGCAGCACCTAGTTATGTGGGGTGAGCAAGTATCAGGATCTAAAGTGCTGTACAGGAAGAAGTTGAGTAATAACAGAAAATACATGGTTACAGCTGCCTTTGATCAGTGAACAGTTTGATGTCAGCTGAAGGAACAGCACTTACTACTGTTCATTTTGAACTAGGACATGTCAGCCTTTCCATGCTTGAAATCATTCCTCCCCTGGCCCTTTGCTGCTGAGGGGAACTGGGAGCTCGTCTCTTCTCATTCTGGTTTTGTACCATGTAAAGCTAGTGACTTTGATCCAGACATTTTCCAACTTGTCCATGGGGTAAGTGAGGGCAGAATCAGGTCTTAGTATGTACTGTGTCATGTGAAATGGTAAGTGGGTCTATGCGTGGAGACACTGCGGAGCATTTCTGTGCACGCTTGTCAGAAGACTTATCATATACCTTGCAAAAGTGTATTTTATGATATGCTATGTTCTTATTAATTATCATTCATAAAATGAACTCTGGACCATACTGTGCAGCATCATACAGTTCTTGTCTGGGGCAAGTAGCTTTCCTTTTCATGGGTGAGTAAAATACCTTTTTGTTGTTTTCTATTTTTACCTGGCCAGCACAAGAAGAGGCAAACTTGCTTTCTGCTTAGGCCGTTAGATTTTCACGGCAGCTTGGCAAGACTGCTCAGGTAGTTCTCCGTTTTGCAAATTTCTGCATTTACAAGTGGGCTGGGGGGAGGAATGAAAGATTAGTAGCTGAAGAAGAGTCCCGTGATACGGGAATTGCAGGTAATGCATCCTCCAATTTTCCTTACCAGAAAAGAATGGAGTTCCCAACTGAAAGCAAAATGACTGTAGAGCTATTGGGGGATTATTATTGTCTTTTGAGTCTCCAGGTTGCTGCCATGTAAATTATACAGGCCTTCCCATCTGACATTCATTGGAGTTTACATTTTGGCATCCTGCTTTACCAGACTCGAGATGCATAGAGAATTGCAGGTATGTTTTAATTCAACTCCATACCCTCCCAACGAGGGAGACTAATATTTCCATCCCTATGCTATAGGGAAAGGTGGCAGTAACATGCCATGTTAGTGGCCCAGCCAAGAAAGGGAGCCAAGCTGCCACAGTCCAGTCCCTGGCTGCCCTCTATTAGACTTCACTGCCTTCTAGAATTAGGAATAAAACACAGGAGGCCCAATTCAGTACTGTCTTTCTGCATAGTTGGACACCTCCAACACCATTTACTGCTGGTTAGATCCTCCCAGAACAGGTAACATCTCCCGTATGTTTCACAAACGGTTCCTGGCGCAAGGGAAGCAAGTTCACTGAGTCTTCTATTTTGTGATCCCAGTTTCTGAAAAAAATTCTCTCTCCCACCAAAAAATAAATATAGCACACTGCTTGGAAGAAAATCTCTGCCATGAATAGACTGGCTGTGCAGTGGGGAGATGCATGGATAACATTGCTTGAAAGACTCTCAAATATAGCTCTGCAACCAATACCTGTGATTAAAAAGTGAGAGAGAGGTACACAAGTTAACTTCTCGGCTCATTTTAACTCACTTGGGGACAATTCCTTGCCAGCTGCCTGATCTCATAGCAAATGCCAGGCTGTTACACTCTTGCACAAGTAAATTCTTGAATTGCCTGTAGAAAAATCAGCCTGCTATGTTGCCATTAGCCTAAAGAATGGGAACTCCTATGTATGATAATAAGCAGTTGCCTGACATACCTGAGAAGCAGGAATTGTGTGTGTGTGGTTTTTTTTTTTTAAATGCTTCCTTCCCCAGCAAGGTTCAGGCTTTTATGATATTTATAAAAACCACTGAAACAGAAACAAGTATCAGTCTCTACCTTTCTCCCTACTCTGTGCTATCACAAACACCAGACAGACACCAGACACTTCTGGTGTGCTTTCAATTTAGGACAGCATTCAGGAAGCTGCCTAAGAAGTCTCTATCTCCCTTTCAGAGAGATCAGTAAAAGTCACAGAGGAAGAAGGCCCAGGATCTTTTGTACTTCTGATAAAGGGAATCCCATTCCTGCCTCCTCATCTGTTCTGTAATCTCTGTGCTCATAGGTGAAGACAGTCTTTGTTGAGGCTGAAACCTGGAAGTACTTCAGCATCTGCAGCAACCACTTGGGATTTAGCCTTTCCTGTGTTTTCAGGAAACTTCAATGATATCAGCTGAGTCAGGAGAAGACAGTGGCAGAGAGAAGTGCTTGCTCTTCTGGGCTCTAACTCTGACCTCCAGAGCTAGCCCAGGTCTTACCTTAGGAAGCCAGTTAGACCTTAAACAGAGCATTGCCTTGGGTCCAGCCTTCCCTCCCCAATTTCCACACCTTCCAGCGTATCTGGATAATTATCCAGTAGCTTCACCCAGCCTGACAGCAGGCACAGAAAAAATGGGTTTGCGGCAACCTGAGGATGAATGATTTTTTTTCAGCAGAGGAGCCTGTTTGGTCCTGCCTATCTGCTCTGATAATAGGCTCACAGCTTTGGAGCTCACCTGCCTCCACAGAATTTGTCGAACGCTGGTATGTTTTAAGCTGTCCTTCGTGGTCTGAACCCTGGCAGGGACGCTGCATCCTCTAGAGCATTGCATCATGATGTTGCACGGCCTGGTGACGTGAGACAAAGCGCATGCTCAGTGACCCCTGTATCCACGTTATCAGTGAAAGAAATTACTGTCATTACAGTGCCAGTAGTTGTTGGCATGCACTGTTAATATTACAATTGTCATTATTCCTGATGATACATTGTAATCTAAACTGTAAAGAAAATATTATGTTTCCACTTCAAAAGCTCATGTTGAGCTTTTGTAATGAATATTTTTCTGATTCTTTCATGACTATCCTTTCTTCATTATCACACAGTGTTTGGAAAGGACAAATTCCTGTTTTGTGCGGTTTACAAAGTTCAGTCAATCAGAACATGATCCTTATGAAGTCAGCACCTTTGCATTTAATAACAGCAATGTATTATGAGTCTGCACAGTGTCAAATACACTTGCATTTAAACGTACTGTTGATGTGTTTTACTGAGCTGACTTCTGTTCTCTAGTCTTGTGATTCTATCAGCTAGGAATCCAGGCTCATTATGAGATTGCACATTGTTTCTGGATTTCATTAAATGAGCAAATGGGTATTAGCTAGCTATTTGCATCAGCTGAACTTGTGATAATTTATCCAATTGGGCAATTGTTATTTTGGAAAAAAGTGTCCTGAGGGATTATGACTCATTTTCATCTGTCTATATGAACCTCGGTATAACCCCTAGAACTCAGCAGCACATCCAGGCAAAGAATGTCAATCCTATTGCAGTTGCTGGGAATAACCATGTTTTCTACCCAGTCTTTCACTGCGGCCACATAACACAAAAAGTGAAGCACTGGTATAATTTAATGATATCAATGGATTTAGAGCAGGGACTTCAGAAAAGATATGTTATGCATCAACATTTTTTTTTAAAAGAGTAGAAAGGTCAAGATAATTTGCAATTTTTTTATAAAACTGCAATGTTAAGGATCTTTTTGTGCTCAATATATAAAGAGTTGTACCCTGTAGATGACAGGATATAGAGGGCTTAATTCTTTGCTTTTTTTCCTTGTGGTGTTGCTGAGGCTGTGTGGAGTAGAAATCCACTGTTTTGGGATGTTAGCACTTCTTACCCACTTTAAGCAGACGTAAGCGATGACATCAGTAGTAATGTAGAAACATACAGATCCTGGAGAATCTCCTTTCTGTTTCACTAGTTCAAGTCTAGTTTAAGCTATTCCTGACACTTGGCAAGAGGTGGCCAGTTACCAGACCTGGTGGTCAGTGATATCTCCTGAAATGATAGTATTTTTTCTTGTTTAGAAAACACACTGAAGGAGAGGCAAGGTGTGGAAAGTGTAGATGCAAGACTTAATAACACTGAGTTGACAGTTTCAATTTCTTTGCTAAAGAGCAAGCACCATTACACAGGAGAAGTGCAGTAACATAGCACTGTGAATCAGGCACATTCATAGCACTAACTATACATGAATTCATAGCATATAGAATTAGGCCCCGTCTATATAAGTCTGTCTGTGGGAGCCGTATCTGTTCTGTTAATGGAAAAAGGTGGCATGCAGGGCTATAAGAAATGAAGATCCAGATCTATTCCCTGCAGAAACTGGTAGGAAAATTCCCACTGACTGCAGTTGAACTTGGATCTTTCTTCATCCTTTGCCTTCCTTTTTAATGCATTACTTCATAGCCAAGGTTCACATTCATCCAGATCTAATTTCATGTACTTGCAAAGTCTGATTAAGTGATAAATGTTTTCAGCTTGCATCTAAACCTGTAGAAAACTGGAGGAGGGGCGGGGGGAATCAACTGTCCCAGAACAGGCATTAAGTAGGTCCTTTATTTTGCTGAATCAGGCCCTGAGTGTGTCTGGATGCTGTAGATGCATTGATATTTGAGACAAAGTTTTATTAAACCTTTAGTTTTAAAGGAAACCTGCAAGCAAAATGTACTCTTCTGATAAAGCCTGGCAGAATGCTTATATACCTTCAAGTATATTAAGCCCCTTAAGGATGTAAGCAGGATCTTCTCATGCAACTCCTATCCACAGGAGTGAATTTTTATTGACTTGCAGCTTTCACAACTATTGATTTACAGTTTCAAAACTGATTTTTTTTTTGAATCAGTTACTACTGATTTTTTTTGTCTTTGCATGTTTTCTGGATACAGCCTCTTAATTTTAACAATATACAGCCAGTCATTTGCTGCCTAAGTTTAGAGTCAACAATAAAACTGCAATTCTGAAGCAACCAAAGATGTTCAGCAATCAGCTTTAGGTATCCTTAAAGGCATGTGATCCATCCACATAAAATGCCTCCCTGCAAAAGGAGGGATTTTGAACAATGCTACTGAGGTTGACAAGTCTGAGTTCTGCCAAACCTACGGAGAAAGCAAATGTGGAAATCCCTCCACTGAGACTAACCTGCCTCCAGCTATACAAATTAAGAAATAGTGATTTACTTGCTTTCTTCCAGCATGGTGGTCCCCAGGGAAAGAAATACCCTGCTAGGACCTGAGCCATAAAGAACTGGGATTTACAGATCAATATCAGCATCCATGATTTATACCTGGAAGCAAAATTCTTCTGCACTGTAGATCTCTCCTGCACTCACAAGCACAGCGGGAGTGCTATTTTCTCTGATTAGAGTAGAGGATGAGAGCTGGGATTCTTAGTTGTACTCATCTCTTGGCCACTGACTTGCTAGGCGTTTTGGATAAGTCATTTAATCTGTCTCTGTTTCCCCATCTGTGAAGGAAATAATATTTCTTATTAATACAAATAATACTTAGCTTTTTCCCCTTTGGATGAAAGGCAATGTGAATGCAAAAAATGTTTTATACTCAAGCTGCCAGCAAGTCTGAACAAGAGCAACGTAATGAAGAGAGTCTTTGGGAAGGAGCACAGCAAATTCTCCTGTTTTAGCCTCTTGCAGCTGCTGCAGGAGCTTTGCCGTTACCTCTCGCAACAGCTCGGAGTCCTTTGTCCCCCGCCTAACCTTGAGCTCGTCCGGAGGCGGTGGCTGCAGCCCTCGTTGTGTCCCCGGGTTACGCAGTGGGCAGACGCCGTGCTTGCGGACGGATGGAGTATCCCTCTGCGTTTTAAGCCATACTCACCGAGCACCATGCGTTCAAATCACGGAAACGACCGCAGCTCTTATGGCGCGTTTACATGATTTTTTTTTTCTTTTTTTTTAATTAGCACAAACTTCTGTTTTGTAGAAATTTAAGTGCTGATGTTGGCTTTTCTTGACTAGGTGGTTGACAGCCGGGTTGTTCACGCTAGAGCCAGGGCAGGAGTCCCCCCGCGGGCGAGGAGACGCCGCGCGGGCGGCCCCGACGCTGCACCAACGGCTGCCGTCGCCCCCAAACGCGGAGTGACACAAGGACAACGCGGAGACGCGCGGTTTCCTCTTTCCTCCCTTCGTCTTCGGTTCTCCTCGGCTGCAGGTCTCCTGTTAGGTATATTTTTACTTTGATCCTATGGGGTTGTTAAGGCTTTATTTATCAGTTTGTTTTTTAAAAATAAGTACGTAGCTAATAAATGCCGCGTCTCAAGGTGCGTTTTGGCGACTGAAAACACGACGAA